TGAAATAGTTCATAATTAAACATGTAAAAGATTTAGAAAAATAGTAGAAAAATTGCCAATAAAATAAAAAAAAAAAGAAAGAAAACTATAGGGCAAAATAACCCATTCTTCTAGTTAAGATGAAAAGAACTTGGTAATAGCTAGTACTACAAAGGTGAAAGCCATCATTCCTGGTGCTTGCTGTTTAGTATTTATAACTGGAACAACTTTTCTGGAAAAAGATTTGGTAACCGTACAAACATGTTAACATTCTGCATATACCTTAACAGCAATTCTTTTTAGGAATATCTTAAAGAAACTACTGAAAATATGTGCAAGATAAACCATAAAATATTTATTATAACATCTTAAAAGAGCAAAAACGTTACTGACTGGTTAAATTAATAATACATCTACTACATGATGAACTACATTTCTAACACAAAAAAATTAGAATAAAGTTTTTTTAAACTTGAGATCTACTGCACATGTACAGTGACTTTTAAATAATATAAAATACTTTTAATGTCAAGGCAAAATGCCCACAATTTGTTGAGTAAAAAAAAAAAAATCAGATTTCAAAAATGAAACTATAATAATTCCAATTTGTTTAAAATAATTCTTTATAATAGAGACTAAAAATCTACATACAGAAATATTAAAAGTTATTCGGGTAGTGGGACTATCATGTTCATTTTTTTTTATTAACCAGAATTTTCTAACTTTTAAAAATGAACATGATTAATTATTTTTATATATATATATATATATATATATATATGTATATATATATATATATATATATATATTTAAATTATTTTTTAGTTGTTGATGGACCTTTATCTTTAATCTATTTGTATGCAGTGCTGAGAATCAAACCCAGTGTCTCACACATGCTAGGCAAGTGCTCTGCCAATGAGCCAATTATTTTATATATTTGAAAAAACTTTTTAAAAATCCTATTTTTGAGAGTCTTTTTTGGGGGGGCTGGGTTGTGACTCAGCGGTAGAGCACTTGCCTGGCACATGCAAGGCCCTGGGTTCGATCCTCAGCACCACATATAAATAAATAAAATAAAAGCATTGTGTCTAACTATAACTAAAAAATAAATATTAAAAAAGAGTTTTTTTTTATTTATATATTATAAAAAACAGTTATTTGGGGGCTGGGGTTGTGGCATAGTGGTTGAGCACTTGTCTGGCATGTGTGAGGTACTGGGTTTGATCCTCAGCACCACATAAAAAGAAATAAAAATGAAACCAAGGTATTGTGTATATCTCTAACTCAAAAACAAACAAACAAACAAACAAACAAAACCCCCAAACAGTTGTTTTAAATCTCACTTCCTCCAAAATGTGAAAACATGAGGGTTTATAAATACTAGGTCCACCAAATCTAATGGTAAGAGAGGAGGCTAGTTTTACTTAGCATTTCTTGTTAATAATTAGCTTAAGAAGTTATTGTTATCATTTCACTAAACATTAAGAAGAATGAGTTCATGCAAAAAATTAATTTACACAGGTCAGACCTCTCTAGAAGAGGTTGAAAAAATTCTGTAACCAGCAAAGGGGAATATTTACATAATATATATTTTATTATTGTTTACAAATTGCTAAATCTCTTTAATTCTTATGCACACACATCAACTCACTTGAGTTATAGTAATCTTATATTTGCAAAAGAAACATTTAATATTCTAGAATTCTCTGATTAACTACTGGAGAAATGTCTCTGCTTAGCTGACTCTATTTGGCACTTGCTGAAAGTCTCCACCATCAGGGTACAATACTCTTCGTTTTTGGTACATTTAATAAAGAGCCATAGATCTATTTGCTTATTACTCACTTCTATATATATTACTTGTTATTTTTGGTTAATAATTCAGGTCTGAGGATRGCTTCAAATAGCTGTCCTCTGTACTCCAATATATTAAATTTTTCCTAACCCTTTCACTGTCAAAATAACATTTAAAAAATTTATTAGTTATTGATGGACTTTTATTCATTTATTTATTTATATGTGATGCTGAGAATTGAACCCAGTGCCTCACACATGCTAGACAAGTGCTCTACTACTAAGCCCCAACCCCAGSCCCTCAAAATAACATTTTTATAATTGTGTGAAGTGAGGAAGTAACTGAAAGTTTGATGTATTAAGTCTTTGCTTTGTATGTTATTTTGAACTGTATGCTACCTATGCTGGTTTCTTAATTTACTTCAATGTGTACTCAAAATAAATTTATCTAAGACATTTTACTTTAATACACCTAAAAGCTACCTTTCACCTATAATACCTTCTTCCTATTCTTTGTTCCTTCATATTATCGTTTCTTTTGAAGTATTCTTCCCTGAGTTTTTTTGATATTCAGGACTGAACCCAGGGGCGCTCCACTATTAAGCAATATCCCTTTCCCCTTTTAAGATTTTTTTTGGGACAGGATCTCCCTAAACTGCCCAGACTAGCCTTAGACTTATAATTCAGTTCTGCTTCAGCCTCCAGAGTAGATGGTATTACATGCATGTACCACTGAGCCCATCTCCTCAATGATTTTTTAAAACTGCAAATCTGATCTTATAATTATTCTTGCTTAAGATCCATTTAAGACAAAATCCAAAACCCTTAATGTTGCTTAAAAAGTCCTGTACAATACAGATTCTTCTGAACTCTCCCAGTTTATCTTAGTCTACCTTCTCCCAACCTCTCCAGCTACACTGACACTTTGTGGTCTTTGCACAGTGGTTTGCTTTCCCTGAATCATTTTTGTCTTTACCACAGAGCTCAGTTGGCGCTTATTCCACATCCCCAGCTCCTCCCCTCCTTTTTTTCTTTCTTTTTCKAAGACAAGACAGAATCTTACTAAGTTGCTCAGAGCCTTACTAAGTTGCTGAGGCTGGCTTTGAACTTGTGATCTTCCTGCTTCAGCCTCCTGAGCTGCTGGGATTACAGGTGGGTGCCACCATGCCCAGCAAAGCTTATTCATTTTTAAGATTTGAGCTCAATGTCACTTCTCTAAGGAAGCTTGCCTCAGGATCAGTTTCTTCTGGTTTATGTTTTTACAAATAGCTCCTTCTTCTTCTGTTTTTTAGGGCTTAATTTATAATTACACGCTTATGTAAATTATATACTATGGGCTAGTTTCTGTTAGAAAACTGGAAATCCATGAAGGCAGGGTCTATGTTTTGCTTACCATTTAAACATCAGTCCTTAATTAGCATAATTCTTGACTCAATATGTACACAGAGATAATTTATAGGGGATATAACCAATTTAACTGACAGGCTTGCTGAATGTCTTTCTAAAAATATTATTTAGTTGTAGATGGATACAATACCTTTATTTTATTTATTTATTTTTATGTGGTAGTAAGGATCGAACCCAGTGCCTTACACTTGCTAGACAAATGCTCTGCTACTGAGCTACAACCCCAGCACAAGCTGATATCTTTTAATGTTGTTTTCTTTTTTAAAATTCCTAAGAAATGAAGGGAGTCACACTTGGAAATTAGAAGTTCAAACTTTAAAACACTGCAGAAACATGGAACAAAGTCACCTTGAGAGGCAAAGATCTATGTAGAATTAGGTGTTTAAAAAACTTGRTTATTATTTGGTAGACAAGTCACTTAACACCCTTAAATCTAAATTTCCTCATTTATAAAACAGAAAATAGAATTAGTCCTTCCCAGCTCATATAATTATTGTGAGGACCACAAAGAGAAAGAATGATAAACTGTAAAACACTAAACAAATGTGATCTAGTATAGTTATTACTGAATAAATGAGGCACTGGAGAGGTGTATCTGCAGGTAAGACTCATAAATTTAAGCAAAATACAACAGGTAAACCTGAATCAAGTTAACAATTGAATTTCCTAAGGTTTGCTACTACTTAGCATTCTTTTTTAGGGAAGAAAAGATAAAAGATGATTTTTTTCATTTTCCTGATGTTAAAGAAATATATTGCAAAACCAAGTAAATCCTATCCAGTTAAAATTTTGGGCAATGATGAGACGGGAAAAGCTACTATTTACTGAGTTATGTATGGGGAGCTATCTGTTCAAAGTTACACATGTAGTCATGTGCTGCATCATGAGGTTTCGGTCAATGACAGACCACATGTATGATAGTGGTCTCATAAGATTATAATGAAGCTATAAAATTTGTATTGCCTGGTGACATCATGGCCTTAGCAAAGTCATATTTGTGGTTATACTAGTGTAAACACTAAACTGTGCTGCCAGTTATATAAAATTATAACCCATACAATTATGTACAGTACATAATTCTTAATAATGAKAATAAATGACTATGCTACTAGTTTATATAATTATTATATTATTCTTTTTAGCCTTAGAGTGTATTTCCTTATATTTATTAAAAAAATAAAGGTTTACTGTAACATAGTATGTCACATTGTCCTCCCAGCAGCCTCATACAGCTTATGTTCTCCTTGTCCTGATTACATCAAGAGGCGGTGCAGAGTGATTGACCCAGACCATTTAGGTTTGTGTAGCACATTCTAAGATGCTTGCATAACCCCAAAATCACCTAGGGACAAATTTCTCAGAACATATCCCCATCGTTAGGCAATACATGATTATATATAAATACTCATTTAATCCTCTTAATAATTTGATCAGGTAAATACTTATTATTATAATCTTCATTCTGCAAACAGAGAAATAGAGTWCAAAAGGGTTAGATAAACTTGTCCAGGATTACACAAATTCAGAACAGGATTTACTCTGGCTCCAGAATTCACACCGAACTCTTTTCAATTTACTACATTAAACAGTTCTGATTTCTCAAGGTCTCCATAAAATATTGTTGATTGAATCAAATATTCACTTGCCAAATACAAAGAAGGCAATTTCCAAAACTGAGGGATAGAAATAAGCAAATGAAGGCTTTACAATTTTAATCTTATAGACTTAAAATAGACTATATTCTTTCTCCTTTTACTACTCTAACGACATTCTGATTTTAGAAGATGCGGTCAAAATAAAAATTGGTTGTATACACTGACCAGGATATGATCCACTCGGTCTCTTTTCTTTCTTCCAAATTTCATCATTTTCTGCCAATCAGTTTTGTGGTTTGGCTCCTTTTTGAGACTAAACAACTTGAGTACTTCAGTTGTTAGGAAGTTCTGCAGAAACAAAGGAATGAATGAAACAAGAACAACAAAATTCCTGAGATTTATGTGTTTACAATGCAGTGGACAAATTTGTAGTAAGATTACAATATTTATGACAAAGGATCACAAATTTCTTCCACTTACAGTTCCACTTAGAAATTTAAAGGGAAAAGCATCCTAAATGCTCAGATTTTATTCACTTAAAATAATTTTTGTACCCAGGTATGGAGGCCTGTGGTCCTGGTTACTCAGGAAACTGAGGCAGGAGGATCTCATGAGCCCAGGAGTTGGACCAGCCTGGGCAACATAGTGAAACTCCATSTCAAGGGAAAAAAAGAGTTTTTGTTTTTTATACAACATATAAAATAAAACCCACTGAGAATCCATAAAGAAAAAAATTACTCCACAGTTCCTTTTGCCTAATTAGCTAATTCCCAGCTGATAAAACTACTAAAGAAAGTGTAAAATATCTGAACTAGAAAAATTCTAAAGAAATTTTTTGCAAGCAACGTTTTATTAGAAAAATGCAAGCTTTTATCTGAGATAGTTTATTTTGAAGCACCAAGATCTGAATATGTCAYACTAAAAAGATTCTAATGAACACTTCAGTATGAGAAGCATAATTTTACTTTTAACAATACCTTAACTATCCACCTTAGACACTAAAATTAGTGGGCAGCATGCTAAATTGATGCACACAGTCTGCCGATGGCTAGCACATTACCTACCTTTATTTCAATTTGCTTTATTACAGTCAAAGTTGCTTCTGTTAAAAAACAATATTCTCACATATATGTAGAAAATACCAATCAAAAATAAATAAAGGCATGAAAGGAAGATAAATAGAGGAGAGGAGACAGAATAAGGGKAGAGAGGAGGGAAGGAAAAGGGAGGCAAAATGGGGATTGAAATCAAATTCCTTGCATATATTATTTTATCAAAATGAACCAAAATAAATGTATAATTAACATGCTCTAAACAAATTAAAAAATAAAACAGCAGCAAAAATCCACAATATTCTCAATTGGGGGAAGGACACTTTATGAATCAGAATTATCTGAGAAGATTCTTGATCTACCTATTGTGTCCCCAAACCCCATCTTTCTCTGCCTACACACAGACACATACACAGTACATTAAAGAATTTATCCACTGTGGAAGGGTGGAAGAAATGGAGCATGGAAGTGTGTTTTGAAAAAAACTACTTACTTTAATCTAAGTCAAGGGCTGGCAAATTTTTTTCTATAAAGGAGTGGATGAATGGAAATAGTTCAGGTTTTTGTGGACCATGTGTTTGTTTTTTTTTAAACGTTATTGTGTTTTTGAATACTTTTTTTTTTTTWAATTTATTTATATGTGGTACTCAGGATCAAACCCAGTGTCTTACACATGCTAGGCAAACGCTCTACCATTGAGCTACAACTGCAGCCTCCCATGTGGTCTTTGTTACAACTACTCAACTCCCCCAGTGTGCCAACAAAGCAACCCCAGATAATATGTAAATAAATGGGCATGGCTGTGTCCAACAAATATTTACAAAAAGACAGTGAGCTTGGGTTTAGCCCAAGGGTCATAGTTTGCCAACTCATGAGGTAAACATACATCTCATAAATATCTATTGGTGTTCTGTCAGTATGTAGTATTTTTAAAAGGCTTTCTATTTCTATGATCAAACAAGCCTGGGAAACACAACTCTAAATTCTTGCTACTTGGGCAGCAGTAGGGCTATGCAGTGGTAAGGCTCTTGCCCAGCATGCTGAGGCCCTGGGTTCCATCCCCTGCACTGCAGGATGTAGAGGGGCTGGTGTTTGTTACTTCAGAATGGTACTAGAACCAATAGCAGTATCACTTGGGAGCTCGGGTTAAAAAGAATTTCAGCTCCTAACCTGGACCTATTTATTGAATAAGAATGTCCATTTTCACAAGATCCCCAGATGATGCGATGCTTGTTACAGTGGGAGAAGCACTGCTCTGGAAATGAAACCTTTGCTGAATTAAGGAAATATGAATAGACAGAGTGAATGCTACCACGTGACTACAAAATTTTTAAGTTCTTATAGCTTTTGAACACTCGATTTTTTCAAAGGTTTCTAAAGTAACAAAATTTCTAAATATCATGTTACGATCCTTGGATCCTTCCTATTTCAAATCCACATTACCAACTAGAAATCTCTAAAAATCAAAGATGGAAAAGTAACATGTATCCAGGGCTGGCATGTTTTCGTATATATTTTTAGAACCTTATGCCTATCACTAAATTTCCAAAATATTCACCTAAAAAACACATGAGTTGCAATAATTTATCTCCCTAGGTATTTCTTAATTTTTCCTTAAATATCATATATTGTGTGCATGTGCATATATACATATATAATAAAAATGACCACCAAGTTTACAAAAGTTTGGCTCCAGAATTCACAATGAACTCTTTTTAACTTACTATATTAAATAGTTTTGATTAGGGTTGATTAGATATAGGGTTCTTTTTGGGCCCGTTGTTTACAGAATCTATGAATCAACAAATATTTACTGAATACCCTCTACAGGACAGACCCTGAGAACATAAAGGTGAATAGTGTACAACAGTGCCTGCTTTTATAGCATTTATAGAGTCTGTGTAAATGAAATCAAATAGAAAAGGAGGTATTTTATAATTTGCAGTTTACCTTGATTTCCTTCAGGTTATTTGGATTTTTCACTCGTCGGAAATAACTAGAGTTGATTCTACATGGCTTCATCCAGACAGGTTGATTCAAGTTGGGATCCTCAGCAAATATTTCCTCAAAAATTTCTTTTGTTAAATCAAAAACCGCCTTGATAGAGAAAGATTAAACAAAATGACTAAGAATCCGCATTATAGTGGGTGAGAAGTTTAAAAGTTAAAGTCATCTTTCCATGTTACATACCTGTTTATAGACCCTTTTACTAGTGCTTTCTAGATCCAGGCCCTTATTGGCACAGCCAAGCAGTTTTGCAGGAATACTAATGCTGTGAAGGTCATGGCCTAATTCTTTCCATTTCCAAAGTTCTTCTGCTGCATCATGTACAAGAATTTCTACTTCCTCTGCTGTATGTGGGACTGCCAATAATATTTCACATGGCTTCTGGGGTGGCCTTTTAGGTTCTGCCATTAAAGGTACAATTGTTTCTTCTGTCTTATTTTTTTGGATCTTATGAGAAGAGCTCAATCCAAAATCTTCATCAAACCAGTCTTGATCATCCCCTAAAGCACTCAGGAACTCCCGACTGATCTCAAGTTCAGCAAGTCTCTTAGCGAGCTCTTCCTGCCCACTGGCACCAAACACTGGGCTCTCCTGTAGATATAGAATCATTCAAATAGGGGACTATTTAGTGACTCTGRTTTCTTAATAAGTTTTTAAGATAAAGTATATCTTTAATATTTCTCTATAAGCAAAATTAAACAATATGGTAGCTACTAGTTAACAAGAAAGACTTACCGTTCCCACTAATATGCTTACATAGACTCATCATCCAATTTATAATAAAACGTTTGTCGATTCATTTTTTTTGTTTTGTTTTGTTTTTTGGGATATCATTATTCCATTTCTGAAGGACTATCTCTGGGATAGGGAAATGGAATATAAAAACTTCTCACCTTTGGTGATTATCTGGCTCAAGTTACTCAAAATCATTACTTTTGCTCAACTGTCTATGGGTAACCTAAACAAATTGATGGTCTGGGTATATGTCATAGTGGATATATTTCAGTTCTAACAGAATCAGCATCACAACTGGTAATCTCTGCAGGGCAACCATGACTGAGTAGTCATGTGAACAATTTCATAGGTGAAAAAAAACATTGCACTGACAAGAACCATTAGAAAGTTCCATAGGATAAATATTTTCAGTGAACTCAGAAGGGATCTAAGTGTGGACAATATGCAGGGGCTGTCAACCTAGCCGTTTGAATGGATGTTTTGTTCCCATAAACTTGGCAGGGCCTGTGACAACCCTATAGTGACTACTCATGACATAACAGAGGACAATTATACTTCAAACAGAAAAATAGCTACATGGCCTTTAAAAAGTAGCATATCATCTTTATCTAATGGACAGCATATCAGAACAAAACCTATCTGGAGTCAAAGAATCAAGACGTACCACACAGGCAAGGTAAATTGACATTTTTCTAGATGAAATACTTACAGGTCTGGGACACATATCTGGGGAGGAGATCTCTTCTTTCTCATCTTCTAATTCAGACCTTAAGAAGCAATTTGGAACACTGGGTGACTCTTCCTCAAGATTGTGGGACGGGTCCTGGGATAATACTTTCTTTTGGTCACCATCAAGAAACCCCCGATTACTCAGCTGAATTTTCTCATTTCTGGCTTTCTTGATTTGTTGTAGCTGACTGACCGTGTCCTTCACAAAGTCTTTCAGTAAACTGTCTGTCAGTAAGCTGACTGTTTCTAGTTGTTGCTTTGACTTCTTTTCCTCACTCAGTGATGATTTCAGCTGGGCTTCTAATTGGTTTTTTTCTTTTGTTAGAAGGTCTAGAAGTGGAGTAGAAAGCTTCTCTGAAACTTCGGAATATAGGTTCTCTTCCTTTTCTGTAAACTGCTGTTTATTCAATTCTTCAGAAAAGGTATTATCTAAAGTATCATCTTCTGCAGTGATGGAAACCTTTCCTGTGGCATCAGAAACAAGGTCTTTGTTTTCCTTTGAAGAAATCAGTGAATCTGCTGAAGTTTGCTGATGAACATGGGCTTCAAGTACCCCAGAAATGTCCTGTGTATGGTCTGTTTCTACTTTAAGACTTCTCTCTCTGTTCACTGAGGCTTCTATATTGTGCATACTAGGTAGAGATTTCTCATAAAAACATCCAATTCCATCTTTTTCTATATCTTTTGAACTCTTTGTGTCTTTTTGTTCTTGACTATAGTTTTGATATTGTTCATCTGAATAAGAGTCTTCATCTTCATTTATGTCTATATAGTCATCAAAGTTTTCTAGAATGTGAGATATTTTTTGAGGAGGAGCAAAAATACCATGTTTCTCTTTGCATACAAAATATACAATGCCATCATATGTTCCATTGTTATTTCCTTCAGGTTTATCCAACTCCACTCCAGCCCAAAATCCTTTAGCAAAACTAGTTTCACCTTTGAATCGAAGAGTTCCTGGTTGAACATTGCCAATCAACACCCTATCACCAATGTGGAAATCAAGTAACTCATCTGCAACAGAAACTGAAGCCAAGGAAGGGGCTTCAGTAACCTCCTGTTCATGTTTCACATCACTGCGTTCCTGACTTTTCATTAGCTCGGTAGGGGACTTAAGTTCTAACAGTCTTTCAGAATGAACATTGCTATGAATGGAAAGGCTTTTCCCACTTAGGCACTCACTGATTTCATCATCACTACCAAAGCCACTGGCTCTACTTTTAGAGCTCCTTGTTGGCTGTGACTTATCTCTGCAAGACTGAGAGTCTTTCCTGAGTGACAACAAAGATGACATTTCAGAGTCACCTTTGTACAATTCAGCTGAAATTTCTTTCTTGAAAGAAGATACTTCAAAATCTTCAGAGTATGACGAGTCTTTTAGAGCAAAATTATGTTCTGACAAGGACAAGTTCTTTTCCTCTTTGTTCTTTTGCTCATGAATGTCTTCTCCTGACTGCATGTCTGCAATGTGATCCATATCTTGATCTGAGTTTCTCTCTTTTAACACTTCCTCTTTTTTATGAAGATTTTCAATGGATAATCTAACTAAATCTTTCTGAACATTTGCAGAATCTAAAGGAAAATCTTTCTTTGAAACAGTTTCAGATGAGTCTTCCTGTTTCAGTTCTAGTTTCAGCAGGACATCAGATTTTCCAGACAGTTTTGAATAGGCACCTTCAATCTCACTCTCCTCCAATTTTGCATATTCTACTTCTTTTATTTCTGATTTTTGATTAGATTCTTCAACCTTGGCACCCAACACATCAAGAATTGTATTAGAGGCATTTAATTCCTTAAGCAGAGGTAATGAAAGTATATTTTCTAAAGAATCTCCAGATTCTGCCCTGGTTTTCCTTGATGATCTGAGAATTAGAGATGGGGTCTGCAAATGTTCTTCAGTTCGACTATCCAATTCAATCATTCTCTTTGCATATGCAGATAAAGACTTTTCTGATACTGATCTCTCAGAACCTGACAATGAAGCATCTTAAAGAAAAAAAAAATCACCATATCAAAATTATTTAATCACAATCTATTGATTTCTAAGACCAAACTAAATAAATGCCAAATCTTGGTGAAGAAAAACTCTGGTCAATAAGTATGACCTGTTTTGTTTACCATATACAAGAACATACTATTACATACCATTATAAGAAAAACTATGAATATAATATATAGAACATTTAAAAATGTTTTAAAGTTTGGAATAATTTCTTCAGTGTTGTATTATAAAGTGAATAAAATGGAGCTAAGTTTACGACGCAGCCATTGCTTTGTACAATCATTCTCAAATCATGGAAAAACAAGATTGTATGATGGATATTAAACACATTCTTTGAATAGAAAAATAAGGAGGAAGATACAAATGTATTTAMTAAAAGAATAAATTTCCCTGGAGACCAATTAAGCTCTTGAATTAAATTAAAAAATAAAAGAGGAAAGAATATTTCTGCAAATATAGCACTAAAGAGCCAAATTTGCAAATACTAGCAAGTAGGACAATTAAGATCAAGAAAACAAAACAAAACAAAACAAAACACAACAAAAACCAAAGGCTAAGGTAGGAGGATCACTTGAGCCCAGGAGTTCAAGACCAGACTGAGCAACATAGCAAGTTCTTTTAATAAATAAATAAGCAAAAATTTAAGATGCTATAAAATTTATTTAAGAAATTCACTTTTCAATGAAAAAGTTGTACAGGTAGAATTTCACAAGACTTTGCACAAATCCTTAGACAACGTAGACACAACTTATTTTTTCTAGTCACATACCAACATGTTCAGCAATGGATTCCAAGGATCCTCTGGAACGTTCTGGTTCTGTTAGTGATTTCCAGTTTTTTGCTGTTTCAGATCTGAAGTGGAAAAATTAATRAGCAGAAATAAACATACTGCTGATACTGTAATAAATGACAATCAAAAGCAGATATTCTTAGACAACTATTTCTTTCCTCTTCTCCACAGACCATTTTCATTGTGTCTACTTTTGGCATTTGTCACTCTGAGTAGATCTTGTTCTTTTTTCTACCTACAAATTTATATTCACAACCATCCCAGCTGCCTTTCTTTCTGTCTGCAGAGAGGAAAAAATGTGTCTCACTTGTCCAAAGCTAAATTGTTCACGGCCTCATGGTACTTCTCAATTATCTACTCTATTTACTATCATCTTTAATAGAGTCCCCCCYTACTTTTTCTTTAATGCTAGGGATTGAACCCATGACTTGCACATGCTAGGCAAGCTCTACTTTTACTACAATCTTTAATTTTCTACCTGGAGAATTTTTTTTCTCTTCCTCGGGTTATAAATATTGCTAATGTCTCAAAAACAAAAACAAAAACCCTTACAACATTTTCCTCTTCGATTCTTCACTTGTTCACCCTGTTACAGCCCTCTCTTATTTATTTATTTATTTATTTTAAAGAGAGAGAGAGAGAGAGAGAGAGAGAGAGAGAGAGAGAGAGAGAGAATTATTTAATGTTTATTTTTCTTAGTTTTCAGTGGACATAACATCTTTCTTATTTTTATGTGGTGCTGAGGATCAAACCCAGCACCCCACGCATGCCAGGTGAGCCCATTACCGCTTGAGCCACATCCCCAGCCCCCCTCTCTTATTTTTTATAGTTAACAGGAAGGGCTATATTTACTGTCTTCATTTTCCTGATTCCTCCTTTTTCTTTGCTAAACCATAATATTTGACTTTTGCTTTCTACCTCCTAATAATGCCCTTAAATGCTGCTATTTATCAAATTCAGTTCTTCGATACCTTTTATTCTCTCTGAATACATACCTTCCTGGGTTCAATCACCTTATATACCTACTGATTATCCTCATATTTCTAACCACAACTTTCTTGGAAAATTCCACTTGTATGAACCACAACATCTCAAAATTAATATTTAAAGCCCAAATCATTAACTTYTCACAAAAAGCTATCTGCTTTTCCATTTAGGTTAGTGGAACCTTGACCCAACTGACAAAGAGAAATGTGGGAATCATCCCAGATTTCCTCTGCTTCCTCATCCAGCACTTTAACGGGTCATGTCTACTTCTTAAATATTCCTAAAATGTATCTCCGATTTTCTATTCTTATTTCTGCTGCTTATTTTAGGCCTGGCTTAGATTGCTTTTCTTCTGCCTTCTGARCTTWCTCTGTTTATCATTCCTCCATACTACAAACAGAAAAAGCTCTTGGAAGTCTTTGTCTCTACCTTTCTACCCACCCCCTCTTCTTCCTTTTGTACTGGGGATTAAATTGGGGCCTTCCACATGCTAATAAGCCCAAGCCCTACCATTGAGCTATTCCCCCCAAGTTATAAATAAAATTTGTAGCAGTTTGATTAAGAAAACTATGGTGCTGAGGGTATAGTTTAAAGGTAGAAAGCACTTGCYTAGCATGTACAAAGCTCCAGCACCACCAAACCAACCAACCAACCAATCAAAAAACAAAACAAAAAAAGAAAACCATAAAGCCATTTCAATAGTATATTATATAGAAATTAAAATAAAACATTTATAGTAAAATGAAAAAATGCATAGGTAACAAAAATACACACAAAATGTATTAAAAAAATCTGGAAGGAAATACACTTAATTGTTTATATTTGCTATTTTGATATAGCTAGGTATGATGATTTAAACTTTTTTATTGCTTCCCTAGATATTCTAATAATAAAGATAATATCAGCATTTAATACATAATGCTTTTTATGTTATAGGCCCTATCTTAAGTTAAATATTTTAACTCTAATAACAAGTATATTAAGCACATATTATTACCTCTGTTTAATAGGGATATAAACTATTAAAAAACTGAAGCACAGAGAGGTTAAATAATTTGTCCAAAGTTACATAGCCAGCTGGTAGAGGAATCTCAGATATGCTAAATTAATTGTAAATGGGCATGTATTTATTTTGTAACAATAACAAAAAATATCAGAAAGTASTTTTTAATACAAACTTCAAAGGCTCCACATCTTCTAAAAAGATGAGTGAGTGAAAGGCTTTCATAATTTGGTTTTTACTTATTTTTCCAGTCTCTTGTGCTAATTTTAACAAAATCTTATTGTGATTGGCTTCTATGATATGCCAATCTCTCTCTCTCATTTTTTTTTTTGCTTTTGATAATTCACAAATGCCTTCTCTTTTAAATGTTCCCATTTCTTAGTAGTACTGGTTTGCCTAATCCTTGCTGTTCAAAAAATTTAGTTTRAATATTATAACCAACTTTAATACACTAAAATGTATACTGTATATTCTAATGTTGTATATGTTCCAGTGTTGCTACTTAGTATTTTTTGTATTTACTTCCTGGCTGAATCATATTTCATCACCTGCASAGACCATAATCTACTAAGCTATTCATTCATTTTTTAAAAAATATATTGTTTATTTGTTAATGGATCTTTATTTAATGTGGTACTGAGAATTGAACTCAGTGCCTCACACATGCAAGGTAAGTGCTCTACCACTGAGCCCTCATCTATTCTTATATATATAAAGATTGTTTCCAATGTTTTATGACTATAAAAGACATTATGGCAAAAATATCCATGCATATAGAGATTTTTGGTACTCCATATTTTATCAAGCTAATTTTCCAAAAGTAGGATTACAGGGTCAAAGTTACAAATTGTTTTTGACTTCTAAAACATTGCCAAATTGTTTTTCAAAATATCTATACCAACTTATGATACTAGTACTAACAATACTTGAGAGAAAACTATTTTCATTACACCCATCAGACTGCAAGATTAAAACATATTTTAAAAATCTATACCTTATTAGAAATTAATTTGCATTTGTAATACAAAACATCTTTACTTTAGTGATGCTAAAAATATAAAACAATACTTTTATACTTAGAAGATAACTTCTACTAAAATCTTTCCTTATTCTTTCTCAAACCAGGCAGACTAGATAAGTTGTCATAAATTCCTACCTGTGTAGTGGGAGGGGCTTGATCTTGGGTTTTTCAGAAGCTGAGGAGAGCGTTTTAATCTGAGGTTTGGCTGTTGGTGATGTTTCCAAATCTCGGCTAAGCTCTGCTTCAGTTTTCTTAATAAATTCATCATATGACTAAGTTTAGAAAAATCAGAGGAGTTACTATGCAGAATTTTTTTTAAAAAAGGTTTTATATTATAAAATAGTACATTAAAAAACTTAAATGGCATAATTTAAAAGTTCAGCCAGTAAATAAGATTTCACATAAAATCTCCCTTCCTGCCCTCTGGGTTTGATCACCAGCAACGCTCTCTCTCAACCCCCAAAAAGGAATAGTAGTCTCAATCCACACAAGTTCGATCCCCATGAAGCAAAATTCATACCCTGCCACATTAAAAATTTATTTAACTTTCACATCTAAGGGGAGACCTCCAACTATTATACCTTTCCTTCATTTTCTTGGCTAAAATCCTTACTTTTATAATTCTCATTTTTTGAGACAAYAGCTGTTTTGTTCAACACTGCAGATCCAGCCTTCTGAGCAGCTTGTATTACAGGTGTGTGCCACCACATCCAGCTGATCTTTATTTAAAAAATTTGTTTCCCACTATTTCCTAACAAGAACTCTACAGTATGGTCACTATATCTTAATCACTTTTCCTACTTTTAAAAGTATGTACAAATTGCTATGTCTGTCCTATCATTATATTGTATATACACTGTAAAAATATTTATTTTCTCCAGATTGGTTAACTGGTCTATTTTCTGTGTGGAAGATAGTATAAAGTTAAGAGAATTTAGAATTAGAGATAGGTTAAAATGCTAGCTCTACTACCTATGACATAAGTGTCCTTGGATAAATCACTAATTTTACTGAAAACTCAGTTTCCTTATGTGTAAAGCAGTGATAATATCCCTTGTTGCTGTGAGGATTAAATAAAAATATGTGTAAATATCTAAGTTCCTGGCACTCAAATAGATACTTCAATTTGATGATTAAATTAATAAATGCCAGAGGCATTTGTAACACCTGTGCCTCTGGCATTTATTAATTTAAAGGACCAATAAAAGCACAGAAATTTTGGCTAAAGTAACTGAGCTTCTAACACTTAAAAAGCATTAAATGTGAAACCAAATGCCTTAAAAACTTGAAATCTATTATTATTGGACATATTCAGGTAGAAGCTGGATGATACCCTTGTCTGATGATGACATGGGAAAGGACTCTTGTGATGAGTAAGAGGTTCAGAATGATTCTATAATGAACACTGTGATTTATTATCTTATCACTAAGCTTRTTTATTAGCTTATCACTAAGCTTGCAGAATGTTTAATAGAGAATCAGCCAGAAACAGGAACATCTAAGAGAATATGCATACTGGAGGTAAGAGGTCATAAGAGCCCCAACTAACACAACAGCAGTAGGAATTGAAAGGAACAAGCAAGGAACTTTAAAAAAGAAAAATTAATGGAAAATGGACTAAAGGAAGAGGAGAAAACAGAATGAGGAAGATAATAAAAACCAGGTTTCCAGCCTCGGGGACAGAATCAGAAAGGTTCCTAGAACTGGGGGGGAAAGCCAAACTTAGGAGTCATGCAAACAGCACAGTTATCACAGTTATGTGGCATGAAGCACTACTCTGCTTAAAAAAAAAAAAAAATAGAAACAATTCAATTACCTAGAATTACTTATCTACCATTATTAATGATTTTTCATTTAAGAGAACATGGACACCAATCTTGCATAAGCCTAATCATTCAGAAAATTTTTATTTGAATATTTTAATACTCAACATTTTAATATTTAATGTTTGAAGCAAAAATATGCTTAGAAATCTTCAGATTTTTAAAAAAGAGGATAAAATGTACCACTACATTAATATAAAAAAATTTTTAATCCTTTACTTTTGAACAACATTAAAAACATTTTGGGCTTCACATGTACATTAACCTCGATATTTAATAKTCTTTCTAGTTGTATATGRACACAATACCTTTATTTTATCCATTTATTTTTATGTGGTACTAATGATCGAACCCAATGCTCCCCACGTGCTAGGCAAGGCCTCCCCCACCGAGCCCCAACCCCARCACTAACTCCCTTTTTCTAATGTCTAACCTCTAACTGTTTGATCAGACTGGCTTCTTGGGCTTTCAGTCTTTCCTTTTGTCTTTTTTTCTGTTCCTTCTTCAACTGGTCCACAACTGATTTTCTTTTCCGCAGCTCATCCTTTAGAGCTCTGATTCTGCCTTCAATGTCACTCTGATCAGATGTAGTTTCTGAAAGAAATGCAAAATCTTCAGTTTTAACTAAAGAATAGTTAACTTAGTAACCACTAATGAAAAGCTGTAATATAATACTTCATTTAAATGGTCAATCKAATACATAAAAATTTAGAAATTGGAGCTTCTAAAAAATTTAATAAATGATTCCTTTATTTTCCATAAGTTCTTTTTTTTCTTAGTTCTTCCTATTGATTTTCAYTTTCTAATTGTACTATTTTACTATCTGAAATTGTAAGTAAATCTTGAGGTATGAAGTAAATCTTGGTAAGATATGTAGCTGAAGTTGAAAATTTTTAGGTTAGAAATTTGTAGATTCTACAAGGAATTATTTCTGTTGATAAGGTAATCATATTTTACTACCCATTTCCTTAATTATTAACATATAGTTTAATTTTTTTTTTTTTGGGGGGGGACACCAGGGATTCAACTCAGGGGCAGTCTGACCACTAAGCTACATTCCCAGCCCTATTTTGAATTTTATTTTGAGACAGGGTCTCACTGAGTTGCCTAGCACCTTGTTTTTTGCTAAGGCTGGTTTTGAACTTGCGATCCTCCTGTCTCAGCCTCCCGTGCAGCTGGGATTACAGGTGTGTGACACCACACCCAGCTAGTTTAATATTTTTAAAGTCACATTAAACCCACTGGAATTTTATCATTTCAGATAGACTGAGTCATTAGCTGATACCTTAATACCACATTCTTTGAAAGTTCTTAAAATATCTAAAATTACTGAAATGAAGCTGGCTAAATCTTGTTTTCTCCCCAATAGTACATACATACACATGAGATAACCAGTCATGGTAATATCAATGAAAAAGCCATGTGTCATACGCATGCCATGAAAACAAACAGATATCATTTAAAGACACTGCTTATTCCACTCGACATGGAAATTACATAGTATAAAAATGACWGTTCCTCACACCTCCTGGAACCATACAATGACGTCATTTCCACACACTAATGTTGAATGAGATGTTTAACAGCCTTAGAACAGAAATACTATTATATACAAATCTGAAGACTCAGTACAACATTGCATTACAAACCAGATTTTTACCAGGAACCTCATATTAAATTGTATAAGAACTAGCTATGCTTTTAAGTCCTCTGGGTATAGATCGATGAGTGAAATAATTGGGTCAAATGATGGTTCCATTCCAAGATTTCTAAGGAGTCTCCATACTGCTTTCCAGAGTGGTTGCACCAATTTGCAGTGCCAGCAGCAATGTAGTGAGATGAAATCTTGGAGTAGTTTTGATCTGCATTTCTCTGATTACTAGAGATGTTGAACATTTCTTCAAATATTTGTTGATCAATTGTATATCTTCTCCTGAGAAGTGTCAGTTCAATTCCTTTACTCATTTATTGATTTGGTTAATTCATTCTAATGCAAAAGATTATAGTCCTTTTTAAAAAATTTTATTTTAGATGTTGATGAACATTTATTTTATTCATTTATTTATATG